AAAGACATGGGTTTGGGCTGGATTTCTTTTCTTTTTTTTTTTTTTTTTTTTTTTGGCATGGATTTCTTTTCTTTTTTTTTTTTTTTTTTTTTTTTTGAGACAGAGTCTCAATCTGTCACCCAGGCTGGAGCGCAATGGTGCAATCTCAGCTCACTGCAATCTCCGCCTCTGGGGTTCAAGCGATTCTCCTGCCTCAGCCTCCTGAGTAGCTGGGATTACAGGTGCCCACCACCACGCCCAGCTGATTTTTTGTATTTTTAGTAAAGACAGGGTTTCACCATGTTAGCCAGGATGGTCTCAATGTCCCGACCTCGTGATCCACCCGCCTCAGCCTCCCAAAGTGCTGGGATTACAGGCATGAGCCACCACGCCCGGCAAGGTTTAGGCTGGATTTCTAGGCTCAGTCTAGACCATAGAGGAAAGGTTTGCCAGGGCCAAGGCCCAGCATGGGCTAAGGCAGAGAGCTCTGGTGGGTTTTAAAATCCATCTTCAAATAAGCATGTTTCAGTTCTGTGTTTCCTCCACCCTATGGTGCACTGCCTAAACATCTATTTGTAACTTTTCAGAATGAAAGGAAATGATACTATAAATGTATTTGATTTGTTTTATTTTTTGCTAACCAGCAGGGGCACAAACCTATCTGTACAATCCCCAACCTTGGTATTCATTCTGGACAGTGATCCTCAAACTGTATTATGCATTGCAATCATCTGGGGAGCTTCTAAGTGCAGATCGCCAGGCTCAGTCCCTGGGATTCTGATTCAGTGGTTCTGGGGAGGGTCCTAGGAGTCTAAATTTTAGCAAGCCCCTTATTTCATTCCAATACAGGAACAGGCTTTGGTCTCTGGGTCCTTCTGAATCATTGTTTTTCTTTAGCTGACAGACTAAATAACATGCTGGGAGGTAGATCTGCTGGGATTTTGGGGTAGCTAGGCGTGTGGTGCGTGAGTCCTTCACGACACAAGAAGCGAGCAGACCTGTTCAGCCTCAGGAGGTAGGAGGCTCTGACAGGTGCTGCAACACAGATGAACCTGGAGGACGCTGTGCTGAGTGAAAGAAGCCAGGCACAGTGGACACTCCTATGAAGTACCTAGGGTAGTCACATTCATAGAGACAAAAAGTAGAATGGCAGTTGTCAGGGGCTGGAGAGGGGACGGAGGATTAATGTTTTTTTTTTTTTTTTTTTTTGAGACGGAGTTTCGCTCTTGTTACCCAGGCTGGAGTGCAATGGCGTGATCTCGGCTCACCGCAACCTCCGCCTCCTGGGTTCAGGCATTTCTCCTGCCTCAGCCTCCTGAGTAGCTGGGATTACAGGCACGCGCCACCATGCCCAGCTAATTTTTTGTAGTTTTAGTAGAGACGGGGTTTCACCATGTTGACCAGGATGGTCTCGATCTCTTGACCTTGTGATCCACCCGCCTCGGCCTCCCAAAGTGCTGGGATTACAGGCTTGAGCCACCGCGCCCGGCCAGGATTAATGTTTAATGTGTTCAGAGTTTCCGCTGGGGAAGGTGAAATAGTTCTGGAGGTGGATGGTGGCGGTGGTTGTACAACAGTGTGACTTATTTATTGCCACTGTGTAGTACACTTAAAATGGTTAAAATGGCAAAATAATTATAACTTTATAGCGGGGGTTGGTAAGCAGACCGCCCTCTCCCAGCTTGTGTCATTCCCTGCTCTCTTTCGGACACAGTGATCTCTACTCCTTTGGTTGTGTTGCCTGATGTGTGACAGGCAGTCCTTTTACACCTGCTCAGGGACAGAACAAACACAGCTCTGCCTACCTTACTGCTCGAACTGTATTAAGCTCTCATTGTCGCTTTCACGCAAGAAAATACGGATATGTACCTGTTCCTGTAGAGATGGATATTGGCCTCACTTAGAGTAAACTTAAATCTGGCAGCTCTGTTCCTAATAACTTTTGATTTCACCATAGCATTGAAATGGAATCTTTTTTAAAGACAAATTAACTGTTAGGAACGCAAATTTAAGTTAAAGTTTAGACACAAGTGTTGCAATCAAAGCTAACCATCCAACCCATACGGCCCTGGGAAGAAGAGATACTGCATCTACACGGCTGGGTTGGCACGAGCACCACTAGTGACAGCTGTGTCTCAGATGGATAGCGGGCTTCTTTTGGAACTGACAATAAGAGGTATTCCGAAATCTTAAATGGGGGTGAGGGGAGGATTGTTTACCAGTTGCAGTTCTTTTTTTTTCGGGGCGGTGGGGGGGACAGGATGTTACTCTGTTGCCAAGGCTAGAGTACAGTGGTGTGTCCATGGCTCACTGCAGCCTCAAACTCCTGGCCTCAAGTGATCTTCCTGCCTCAGCTTCCCAAGTAGCTGAACCCACATGCATACATCACCATGCCCAGTTAATTTGTTTTTATTTTTTGTAGAGACAAGGTCTCACCAGATTGCCAGGTGGTTTCAAACTCCTAGCCTCAAACAATCCTCCCACCTCTGCCTCCCAGATGCTGGGATTACAGGTGTTAGCCACAGCTCCCAGCCCAGTCATTGCTTTCAATAGCAAACCAAAGAAGCTGATTTTGACTAATTTAAGCAGAAAAGAAAGTTTCTGGGAAATTTTTCACAGGATTAATAGGAAAGTTGGAGAACTAGGCTTAGAAAAGGGTTAGTAAGCTGCCACCACCATGAATAAATTCTTATTTTCACTGTGTCTTTGCGTCCTTCCCCCAAGGTTCAGCACTCCTCTCTGGTGGAATCAGGTGAATGTCTGACTCTAGATCACATGCCTATGCCCCACCTTGCTAAGGAATGGGGCAAGGGACTCTGCCACACCTTCAGCCTCCACAGCCATAAAGGATACCTCCTGACCCAACAGGAAGGGTATCCAGCAAAAGCAACTAAGGTTCACTCCATGAGCACCCTGGACACTACATTTTCTTTGATCTGTTTCTGAACCTTCAGATACCCCATCTGGCCCCTAGGAAGACCACATGCGTGAGTGGTCAGGTCAGTGTGGTGAATCAGTCATTGGAAAAGCAAGTCTCCATGCAGATCCATCTATGGGTGGTTCCAAAGCCTCTTTCCAGCACCCAGCGAACAGCCAGTTCATTCATCTGCTGAGGATCTCCAATCCTGTGAGCTAGGGCTGTCTGCACAAGTCTGTCTCAAATGACAGTAGCACTTAGTGTTACCCTAGGGGGCAATTTGTTCTGGCCTTTCAGGGTCAGAGCTCAGTGAAATTCTTGACTCTAGATCTTTACCTACAATGTGTGACCCCATCAGTAGGTCTTTGATATTCCTCTGACCTAAACTGGCTGCTGACAGCAATGAAAATAAACTCTGGCCCACATTCCGAGAACCGCCTTTGCCTTCCTTATCCCCAGGGAGTCAGGGAGTGCCGCAGTGAGACAGAACAGAGAAATGAAAAGCATGAACTGGAAGTATCCACACGTGTGGCGGCATAAACACCACACTCAGGACAGCGGCTTCCTCTGGGGAGGAGGCGGGGGAAGGGCTCAGGGAGGGGTGACGGGCTTCAGCATTACCAAGTGTTCTGTTTTCTTTATGAAAAATGGACTTGAACTCAGTTTGCTTGTTCAACTATTACTCCTCTAACACCTGTTCTTCAAATCCATGGAAACCTTCGTCCACAGACCCTCTTTACTTTCACCTAATAGATTATTCCCCCAGATACTGCCTCCTCTGCCTCAGATCCACACCTTCTCCACCCCCACAGCCAGCCAGGGTCTCACAATCGATGTTGACATTTTTGTATTTATGCTTTAGTCTGTATCCATAGATGGTTGAGTATTTCGTATTTCAACATTTTACGTGAATGTTATCATGCTATACATACGTTTTCACTCTTGTTCTATTCTGGAGATTTACCTGTGTTGACAAGTGAAGATCTAGTTAGTTCTCACCTCTGTATGGTCTCTAAGTAAACTAGACTTGGTTTTTAAAAGTATTTGAAATAGCAAACAAAGCAAAGTGTCAACATTTGTTAAAATTATGTGGTAGCTACATCAGCATTCAGTATATGACTCTATGGATGTTTCTGTATGTTTGAAAGTTTTCAAAATCTGAAAGAAGAGGGGAGACCCCTAGCATGGGGGTACAGCAAGGTGACATCTCAGCACTAGCTGGGCCGGATTTAGACTCTGCTCCTGCAGCTAATCAGACTGAAATTCAAAGTCAGCTTTGTGGGATTGGCCTCCTCTTGTTTGCTTTTCGTGGGCATCTGCCTCCCTGGGGAAAGGCCTGAGAGTCTTGACCTTGGGTTGAGGAGTGTTTATGCAGCTGCATGATTTGTGGAAGTGGCCAGGGTAGGCCGAACAGAATTTGCTGTGGGCTTGGCCATTTTAAAAAAGAAATTGGCAAGAGACCATTTCACACAATGGCTACAATATGTAATTTTTAAAAATATTTACAATATACTCAAGCTATAAATAGTCCAAAAATAAATATTGATCATAATTCTGGCTGGGCCAACCTTTGACCTCCTTAGCACTCTGCAAACTTGGGTTAAGCAAAGGCAGTGCCTCTTCTGCTACGCTTACTTGCTTACTGAACACCCCATGGGATGCCAGGTGGCCTCTGGTTGTCTTTTTTCTCTAACTGGGGCTTTCAGAAAAGTGAGACTTTTCGGAAGTAAGACCTTTTGACTCGTGGCCTGTGTTTTTACAGAACCGTTGGTCAATTTTTCCATCAAGCAAATGGTCTGTATTAGGTGAAACAAGACGCTCATGAAGACTAAATGAAATCACAGATATGGAAGTCTGCAATTCCCAAAGTGACCATGAGTCGCATTCTATTCCCTCCCTCCTCTATGGAAGGGCTCCCCAGATCTTTCCCGCCCAGATTCATCTCAGCCTGTGATTTTCAAGTTACCAGACCTCCACTGCCTCCAGGTTGACTACAGGGCTTTCTCCCTGGCAGCTGCTGGAGAGCGAGACTATTCCTGAGCCCTCCCAGTAAACGTGTCTCCAGCAGTAGTGGCCACACTGACGTGTCCTTCTCTCCATCCAGGCTATGACTTCTGCCAGGTCCTGCAGTGGTTTGCTGAGAGGGTGGACAGGATCATCCTTCTTTTCGACGCTCACAAGCTGGACATCTCAGACGAATTCTCAGAGGCCATCAAGGCCTTCCGGGGGCAGGACGACAAGATCCGTGTGGTGCTGAACAAGGCCGACCAAGTGGACACGCAGCAGCTGATGCGGGTCTACGGGGCCCTCATGTGGTCCCTGGGCAAGGTGATCAACACGCCCGAGGTGCTGCGCGTCTACATTGGCTCCTTCTGGGCGCAGCCCCTGCAGAACACGGACAACCGCCGGCTCTTCGAGGCTGAGGCCCAGGACCTCTTCAGAGACATCCAGAGCCTTCCCCAGAAGGCAGCGGTGCGCAAACTCAATGACCTCATCAAGAGAGCGAGGCTGGCCAAGGTAAGCCAGGACATGCCCTGCACAGAGGCCAAGGGCTGGGACTCTGCCCTCTCCTCTCCAGAGGCAAGATGTGTGGGAGGAGGCTCGTCCAGAAGCCTTACAGAATGAACACTCCCTAGGTTAGCAATACAGCCTCAGGGGCCGGGCGTGGTGAATCACACCTGTAATCCCAGCACTTTGGGAGTCCAAGGCAGGCGGATCACGAGGTCAGGACTTCAAGACTAGCCTGGTCAATATGGTGAAACCCCATCTCTACTAAAAATACAAAAACTAGCTGTGAGTGGTGGCGGGCATCTGTAATCCAGCTACTTGGTAGGCGGAGGCAGGAGAATCACTTGAAACCAGAAGGCAGAGGTTGCATTGAGCCAAGATCGCACCACTGCATTCCAGCCTGGGCAACAAAAGAAAAACTCTGTCCCAAAAAATTAAAAAACAATACAGCCTCAAGGTCAGGTGTCCCTGCTGACACCCTAGCTCCTGGCTCTGCACTCCTGGGCAGATGACTAACCCTATTCTCCAATCTGTACCTTGGAGCTAATAAGAGCACTTCACAAGGTGCTTATGAGGACTTGGGGTGACAGTTTGTCAGTGTGACAGAGCACTTGGCATAGTGCCTGGTGCGCAGGGAGGGATCAGTCACTGTACCCGCTACATGGTAGCTGTTAGGATGTCAGGACGATAGGAATATAACCAGCCAAACCTGAGAGAGGTGACATTGGCGAGACCACCTCTGTGGCCTTGGGATGCTGAGAGGCCACTGCTATTCCCCTTGCACCAAAGGCCAGTGTTACTACCTGGATCCAGGGGAGACCTGGCTCAGCGTAACCCTTGGAGTGTGCTGGTGTGGAGTCACACCCCATCCTCATTCTGGGATGTAGGGTATAAGGCTGCATGCCTGGGCTCCAGGCTCCCTTGCCTCATAGCTGAGCCTTTCAGCAGCCCCAACAGTGTATACCCAATGGGGCAATGACAGGTGACCTGCTGACATCCCTCAAGTGGCAGAGTCAATTCATGTCTCCAAAGAGAGAAAAGCATATCGCTCCTCCAAGAGAAAATACAGTGAAAAAAAAAATGGCTCTTCAAAAAATACGTGCATGTTTCATAAAATCATTGTCCTCTAATGCTGGAAGTGCCTTTAGAGTTTTATCTAGTCCCAGTGAAGTTCAAACCTGGCTGATCAACAGAAGCAACATACATCCCAGGCCCTGCCCCAGAGCCTCGGCTATAGGGGTGCACATGTACACGTAGCCATGTGTGCATATACATGTGTGTAAGCACACGCGCGCATGTGTGTGTGTGTGGAGAGTTCGCTAGGTGATTCTGATGATCAGCCAAGATGGAATCTAAAGACCTGTGCTGGCTGCCTAATCTTACAAGGACAAGGCAAGTAAGTGACTTCTCCAGGGTCACCTAATCCAATAGTGACAAAGTTAGGACGAGAAATCAAGCCTCCTAGCCCTCAGGCCAGCCTTCCGCTTTGGACACCATCACCTCAGCTGACACAGATCCGCAGGCCTGAATCTCCAGATTCTCTAGTACTTGGTCAGGAAATGATGTCAGCTCACCTTCCCTTTGTCTTCCAGCAGCAAGGAACCCATGTCCCCTCCCACATTCCTCTTACTTCTCAGTGAGTGGTTGGGCCCTGGGGCCCAGCAGGTCAGCCTTCTGGTCACCACCACTTTTCCCCATTCAGTCACTAGGTGCTCAGCACCCCTGGGCCAAGGCCAGAAGTCTCACCTGGTAGAGGAGGGAGGCTCCAAACGCCCTGTTGCAGAATGGGGAGCTATGTGCCAGTCATGGTGTGGACGCTGCCACGATTCCAGAGGCAGGGAGGGCTTCCCTGAGGGTGACAGCTGAGACGAGGCCAAGCCTTCCTCCTTCTTGCTGCTCATTAGCAGCCTGTCCTCATACCAGTATGCTCACAGGGCAGCCTCTCGCCTGGGTGAAAATGAACACCTCCCTCGCTGCTACCCCTCACACAGGACCTCAATGTCTTGTGTCCCTCTCTGTCACCTGTGTCCCAGTGCATGAACACGCATTCCTGTCTCTGGTTCAGCTACCGCTCAGTGGCGTGGTGCTTGTGTGAGTCACCCTTCTTTGGTGCTGGTGGCTTCCTTTCCAGAACCACAAGCCAATTTTCTCCCAATTCTGCAAGGCAGTTGTGCAAACTAGTTTGTAAATCCACTGATGTGCAGCTCTCCTGAAATGACTTCTCCCTCGCCCTTGTCCTGGGCCTAATGCTTGGTAGCAGGAAGGATGGCGATCCCTTGTCTTATGGTATTTCCTTTCTCCGGCAGGTACAACTGAACTTCACCTTTAGGGTATGTGACACCTCACATTATTTTATAACCAAAGTTGGTAACTCTTATCATAGCCTTTGCAGATTTGAAGATTTTTTTTTAAACTATTTTTAAGTGCTCAGGACATTCTTCATTTACCAGTTATTGCTGAGGACCCACTGACTGGTCCATTTGATTTCCCCTGGTCATCCCCATTAGATGCCTTGGGGCTTCTGCAATCTTAAACAAGGCAAAGGATGACTTAAACAAGATACAAATGTTCAGAAACCCCCAGGGGTCAGTGTCATTCACTTGTGAATTAAACTCTTGGAACCCAAATTCATATAAGCTGCTGTAAGTCATATAAATAAATAAGGAGCAGAAAGCTCCCTGGAAATGCCAAGCGCCTTAACCCATAGAGCTTCCCTGCCATCCCTGAGCGTTTCGCCCTCTGAACGGGCCAGCCTGGCCTGGGTGTGGAGAGGCACAGAACACTGCTCTGTATTCTAACGCTGGGAATAATGCAAACCCTTGTGTGGATGCGGGGAGGGGGGGACAGTCAAACTTGCTGAGCTTACTTATAGGAAAAAGGCTTGTGGGTTTTTTTCTTCCTAAGAATAGTGTCTGGCTTGTTCCTTTTCACAAAGGAAAACGTTTGAAGTGTGGATATTTGCAGCCAGAGCTTCTTGGTGCCAGTTGCTCATGGGCAGTGCTGTGCTGGGGGTGGGGATGGGAGTCGGGCTCCGCCGGAGGAGAAGCTGGACTCGGCCGCTCACTTGTGGCACTGACTTCACACCACCTGCCGTATCATCTTCCGCCGCCGACTCGTTTGTGCTTAAATGGACAGAGCCTTACCTGAGTTTTTGTTTTTGGACTATTTCCCAAAAGTGCTTTTCTTTTGGTGTATTAACATTTCTCTTGATCCAGTTTTCCTTTTCTCACACCAGCAGTGTTCCAAAGCTCTGTAGTCTGCATTCCGTGTGCTATTCTGTCTGATCCTGTTGATAACTACACAGTTCAGCACTTTTGTCCTCATTTCCCACCTCAGGAAGCCGAAGCTCAGAACGGCGACGTTATGTCCCCAAGGCTTTGCAGCCTGCAAGCCGCTAGGTATATGTTCAAACCTCGGTCGGTGTGACTCCTCAATCCAGAAAGCGGTCACCTGAAACCGGAAGTGAGCGGCAGCTGCAGCACCTCCTCATGTCCTTGTTTTCCGCACTGACCTGTTATTCTGTTAACTCTGTAAACGTCTCCATCCACAGAAGCCCTACAAAGTTTAGGTTTCTCAAGCTGACGCTTTGAAAACATGCAAAGGGCAAGTTTTCAGATGTCAGCTAAGAGCTGTCAACTCTGAGTTGGGTTGTGCAGTGTGGTTTATTTATAGAACACCACAATTAAGCAGGACTCATGGCCCATCCGGATAAAGAAGTGCGTCATCATTTTAATCAAACTCAAGGTGTCATAATGATGGCATTTTAGTAATATGAAAAGTAGATCCTCTTCCCAAAGAGCTCCTGAAGCTTCTTTCCCTGCTTTTTCTGTTTACATCTTTTTTTCACAACTCTCTATTTAAGGAACAGGGAACCTTTAGAGTGGATTTTTGGTTATTATCAAAGATCACTTCTGACCATCTCAGTAGATACCCTTCTTGGAAGACAGCTCACATGCTGAGATGCCAATCAGGGTTCATTTCATGATTTTTAAAGGAAGCTATTTTGGGAAAGCCCAAAAAAGGATTTGGAAAATGTCATTTGCTTTTATTCAGCTATAACTAAAATAGCCAAATTAAAGAAATAAGACTCACAGAAATCCCAAACAATACTACTCCTGGGATAAATGAACAAAAGTAAGGCAAGTTCATATCAGACCCCACCCTTTCTAAACATATTGCCCAAGAGTAGAAAAGGCTGTCACCCATTTGGAGATCTTTGCTCAACAAAAAATGAGGCAACATTTGAGGAAGAAACAAGTAAAACTGAGAAGAGGAGAGGTCAGTGATTTTCGAGGTTCACTGTAGTTCTGTGGAATTTAGCTGATTCTTTTAAATGTATTCTCTTCTTAGTCACATGTGATGTGCAGAGCCTGGCTTTCCTGTCTGTTTGCACCATCAGATTCCTTCTCTAGGCCCCGCACAGTGGCTTATGCCCGTAATCTCAGCACTTTGGAAGGCCGAGGTGGGTGGATCACCTAAGGTCAGGAGTTCGAGACCAGCCTGGCTAACATGGTGAAACCCCATCTCTACTAAAAATACAAAAATTAGCTGGGTATGGTGGCAGGTGCCTGTGATCCCAGCTACTAAGGAGGCTGAAGCAGGAGAATGGTTTGAACCTGGGAGGCAGAGGTTGCAGTGAGCTGCGGTTGCGCCACTGCACTCCAGCCGGGCGACAAAGCAAGTCTCAAAAAAAAAAAAAAAAAAAATTCCTTCAATAGAGAAATGAGGTATTTTTTGTGCACCAAATGGATCTAGGCTAACGTGTGTGAGAATCATGATATAATGGATAATGAAGATCATGGTAGTGCCTAGTCCCCAGCGGGGCTCTAAAAATAACTCGGTCAGCCGCTCTGAGCTACTGTGCGTGTGTGCGTGTCAGTGCTTGAGCCCATAAATGGAAGCCTGTCTCTTTGAAGGTTGACCTCAGATGACTGTGCGGCCCCCTCCGGTCCCCTTTAAGGCTGCTCAGAATTACACCTGCCATTGGTGCCTGTTTTGATCTGAACAGAATAACAAACTGTCACTCAAGTGGGAATGCACCAGCCGCCTTTCTCTGCCTCCCCTAGTCTCACTCTTGTTACCCCACAGGTTCATCTTTTGGGTCTAGGGAGAAATAATAACTGAGTTTTTCACAAACCTACTTTATAAATGTGCTGATACCCTGGTTTTAAATGCTCTATGCAGGTTTCCAGAGCTGGGTTTCCAAAGCCACAGGTCTCCAGCAGGTCATGTTCAGGTTGCAGATGAGCATGGCACAGTGTGTCACCATGCCTTCCCAGCCCGCCTGCCCCAAAATACTGCCTGATCCTCACATTCCATGAAGCTTTTCATTCCAGCACTCGTCACTTCTGGCATCCAGCACTCGCTGAAGTTACCCTCTGAGCGCAGAGTGGATGTGGCCCATATCTCTCCTGAGTACAGTGATATGGGCAACATCTTTAGTCTTGGAGACAGAGAGAGAGAGAGAGAGAGAGAGAGAGAGAGAGAGAGAGAGAGAGAAACTGACACTGGACACAATTAATGAGATCTGTGTCAGGGTGTGTGAACTACATATACATTCATATACATATAAAGGGGAGGACATTCCTTTCTGCTCATTGAGTTATTAGCCTAGAGAAAAATTGTCATTTTGTCATTTTGATCCCTTTGATTTCCCCCGGTCATCCCCATTAGATGCCTTGGGGCTTCTGCAACCTTACACAAGGCAAAGGATGACTTGAACAAGATATGAATGTTCAAAAGCCCCCAGGGGTCAATGTCATTCACTTGTGAATTAAACACTTGGAACCCAAATTCATTATATTACTATTTAAATATACAGAGTCTATGAATTCTTTGGTAAGGACTAACCAGCCGGAAACCCTCTCTGTCATTACGGCACCTCCACCTGTAGGTCTTTGGCCATTAGTTGATAACAAGTAACATGTGCTCCTCTTTCTAGTGAGAGCAGGCATTCAAATCCATGATCTCTTTTATTCCCTTAACTCTGTGAGATGAATGTTGTTGTCATTTCTGATTTGTGGATGGGCACGCTGAGGCGGAGATCCCACGCCTGGCCCCAAATTAATTACTCAGTGGGTAGGCAGTGGTCAGGGGGCCTGAACCTCATCTTCCAGCACTAGGTCTCATCCCCCTCTTCTCTTTCCTACTCCTCCCCTTCCCAATTAGTTTTCTCTGCATATAAATGTTAAAAGACCTGAGTGTTTCCACCTCCTTCCCCAGGGACAACTGCCAGGTCTGGCCCTCCGTCTGGCATTTATTTGGAGACGCCTTTGACACATAAGTGCAGGAGTGAGCTTTGCAGGCTGTCTGTGGATTTTAGCCATTCAAGCTGTCCCATCTGTTTACCACACGACTTTAGAAAATGACAGGGTGCCATCCTACCAGCAGCTCTAAAGCTTCACCCGCATTCCCACGTGGTGTCCTGACTTTTGTGTGCCATCATTGTATCTGAGTTTGATGTGTGGGGAAAGGGAGAATAAAAGACCCTTCCAAAGCCTCTCATTGAATTAGGCACAGTCAGAAGTCAAACCTAAGATCGAAGTTTTCCAAACTCATTCTATGGGACACCATTCATTTTGAATTCCAGATTTTGAACAACTTCAATAAAATGATTAATGCATACCCACAGGGAGTCATTAGTTCTGGAAAGACAGGAATGAGGCACTTGGTTGCTAGTGCCAGCTCTACAGCTGCCAGCTAGCCATGTGACCTTGAGTGAGTCACATGGACATCCTGGAACCAGGAATTAAATTAAGCATCAGGGGTCACTTCCAGATTCAATACTCCATGATGCTAACAACTATAATTTATCTTGTGACTTGATGAACTTTATATATATATATATATATATTTTTTTTTTTTTTTTTTTTTTTTTTTTTTTTTCCGGAGACGGAGTTTCACTCATGTTACCCAGGCTGGAGTGCAATGGCGTGATCTCGGCTCACTGCAACCTCCGCCTCCTGGGTTCAGGCAATTCTCCTGCCTCANGATCTCGGCTCACTGCAACCTCCGCCTCCTGGGTTCAGGCAATTCTCCTGCCTCAGCCTCCTGAGTAGCTGGGATTACAGGCACGCACCACCATGCCCAGCTAATTTTTTGTATTTTTACTAGACACGAGATTTCATCATGTTGGCCAGGCTGGACTCGAACACCTGACCTCAAGTGATCCACCTGCCTTGGCTTCCCAAAGTGCTGGGATTACAGGCATGAGCCACTACGCCCAGCCAACTTGATGAACTCCTGAAAGCAGGTCTGTGCACAGAAGCTGGCCTTGGGTTACTGTCTAGGACACACCAGGAAGGGCAGGAGGCCAGTGGACATGCAGAGGCAGTGTAACAGGAGACTTCTACAAAACCGGCCAATGGAACTTCCTAGAAGTGGAGGCTGGGGCCAAGAGCAGTGCAGTATGAGCAGGCCACCTAAGGGCCATGACTCAGGTGGCACCAGGCTGGCAGAGGAGGAGGGAGCTGAGACCTGGCATGAGATCAGCCCCAGGTTTGTCAGGGCTCTGTTGGCCGGAAGTCCGGGCAGCCTTGGTCATCAGCCGGCAAACACGAGGCCGGAGCTGAGGGGGCAGGTGCCACTTGGAGGATGGAGGGTGTGGCAGGTGCACATTAGCTGAGTTCAGTGCAGGTAAAGCAGGCCCTGGGCACGAGGAAGTGTTCAGGAACAGGGTGTCCAATGTCAGGAGGCCAGGGGCTAATTGAGGAGTCAGCCTGATGAGGAGCAGGAACTAAGCCCTCCCTGAGCTGGGCCCTGGTGGCTCAAAGGTACCCCACTAGTAGGCAGTTAGGGGTCTTGGGAAGCCCTGCAGGGGCCTGGCAGCTGCTTCAGAGCTAGGCCCCAGGGCAGGGAGGGGAGTGGTCTCAGAAGCCCTTGTGTTTGGGAGACTGAGCAGCTTTGGGGCCTCCTACTTCCCTTGGGGTGGATCCAGGGTGGGGTGAGCCTGAGCACAGAAGAGAGAGGCATGCATAGGCCCAGTCCAGAAGTTCCAGGAAGGCAGAGGCTAAGGAAATGATGACAGCTGGTGAGCAGCTGATTCTCCCTGATGGAGCGTACAGCCCCTCCAGTCCGAGGGTGCTCCCCCAGCCCCGGCCCTCCCCAGCCCACCCACACCAAGCCAGGCATTCACTGTGGGAAGTGGAGGAATTGCCATCTTATCACTTGCTCATCACAGCCTCAGGAGTGCGGTGAAAGCCCAGGATTCCAAATAACGGATCCCAAACTTCAGGTTTCTCTAGTTATCACTAAGAATCTTGTAAATAATTTCAGTTGTCTTCATTTGGAAAGTAAGTACATAAACAGGTTTGCTGGTGACAGAAAAGTTTAGCATCAGCTGTCCAAGTGCATCCTCCCAGCGGTAGCCAGGCAGCACAGTGTATGCTTCTGTTACGCGACGCTCATGCAGAGGGGAAGCTGGCATTGTCTGGCCTGAGCATGTCAGACGTTACATTAGGTACTAAGGTTACTGTCCATATCCTCACAAAATGTTCTTAGCTGTGTCCAGCATGTGTCCACACACAGGCCCTCAGCTGAGCTACTGAACGTATCTGCTTACTGCCTTTATTTAATTTCAACTATTCCGCAAGATTACAGTAGAAGTCTGTTTTCTTTAATAGGATTTTCCATTGCTATATAGTCTTTTTTTTTTTTTTTTTTTTTTTCCCCGTTTTTTTTTTTTTTTTTTTTTTTTTTTTTTACTTACTTAACTTCACAGTTACTCCATGGAATTCAAGATATATAAAGAGGCCAGGCACAGTGGCTCATGCCTGTAATCCCAGCACTTTGGGAGGCTGAGGTGGGTGGATCACCTGAGGTCAGGAGTTGGAGACCAGCCTGGCCAACATGGAGAAACCCCATCTCTACTGAAAACACAAAAATTAGCCAGGTGGGGTGGCACATGCCTCTAATCCCAGCTACTCAGGAGGCTGGGGCAGGAAAATCACTTGATACAGGAGGTGGAGGTTGCCATGAGCCAAAATAGAAAACAAACAAGGGAAAAAGAGGGAGATTCCAAAGAAAAAAAAAAAAAAAAAAGATACAAAGAGAACTTTTGTAGTGAACATTTCTTAATATCCTAAAGTTGAAAACCAGTAGAAGAGTGGAAATGTTAAGGCCAGATTCCCACCCCTCCAATGACAGCCTGCTGGCTACCCCAGCCCCAGTGATCAAGGCTTCTGGGGCTTCTCCCGTGGACTCTTGGGGCTCCTCTCCCAGGGGGATCTTCTGCCATCCAGCCTGATCCCAGGCAGCTGGTCTTGTGCAGAAATGACTTTTGTTCTACCTGTAGAGATCTCAGAGTCTAAACCTCCCATAACAGGGGGGTTATGGGAATTCTCATCTCATCGTTCACTGAGCACAGATTTCCATGTTGATCAGCCATTGTCACCAGCCACCAGTTTCATTTCCTGGTGTTCCAGGGCACCAGCCTGGTGAAACTTGCTGATGGGTCTTCTGGATAATTGCCGGAACAAAGAGCTCTCCCCCCCAGGCCCCACCCATACCACTCACTCCCTATAGACATCAGAATTGCCACTCAGAGGCACAACGGAACTGTAGCCGTAGAATTTCCCCAAGTCTGGTCACATTCTAGCCACCCTTAGACAGCCCCACTCCCCCTGGACCCTCCCCTCCTCCTGTCCTTGGGACCTGATCTGGTGCCTGTTATGTGTTATGATGGAGGTAAAATGTGATCTCATTTGTTCCTTCTCTGGTGCAATTCTAAATGACACTTCCCTGCCTGATCTCTATCTACCCCTCCAGGTGCATGCCTATATCATCAGCTACCTGAAGAAGGAGATGCCGAGTGTATTTGGAAAGGAAAACAAGAAGAGAGAGCTTATCAGCAGGCTACCAGAAATCTACATTCAGCTACAGCGAGAATACCAGATTTCTGCAGGGGACTTCCCCGAGGTCAAGGCTATGCAGGTACTGGGAGCTCATTACAGTGTCATGGGCAGAGGGCGGAGATGCAGTGCCACGTCATCTGGCTGTTAGCTGGAGACACATGAGGGGCTCGTGGTTTAGGATCAAGGAGAATGCAATGAATTCGTTTTCCTAATGGTGATCCATGATAATAAGCTATGAATAAAGCAGAAATTACCTGTCTTCCAAAATGCATAAACAGGCCAGGCGCAGTAGCCCACGCCTGTAATCCCAGCACTTTGGGAGGCCAAGGTGGGTGGATCACCTGAGGTCCGGAGTTCAAGACCAGCCGGGCATGGTAGTGGGCCCCTGTAATCCCAGCTACTCAGAATGCTGAGGCAGGAGAATCACTTGACCTGGGATGCAGAAGTTGCAGTGAGCTGAAATCATGCCATTGCACTTCAGCTTAGGTGACAAATGCGAGACTCCATCTCAGAAAAAAAAAAAAGTATCAACAAAGAAGACACACAGCCAAAGGTAAATGAAGCTCCCATGAGAAAGTCAGATGAGAACCCTCTTAGACTGTGTCCAAGGAGGCTGGTTGATGTTGCGACGACACTGCTCTTTGGAATCCCAGAACCTTGAGGGAATCAGAGCTGGGAGTAGCCTTGAGGGTCACCTTGGGCAGCCTCCTCAAGCCCTGCCCGGCCCTCCCCCACGCTGTGGGATTATGTGCTCAGGCAGCCTTGCTGTGCAGGCTCAAGGGCTCCCGCAGGGGCTGTGGGGCTCTGCAGGCACTGCTGGACTGTGTGGGCACAGGGAGCACTGAGCTTAAAGGCTGGTGCCGGGCAGCCGTTGGCCTGCTGTCAAGGCCTCTCTTGAGCTGTGGCTGGGCGGCTCCAGCCAGGCATGAACAGGGGCCACATTCAGCCACCCTGGCCTGACCGGCATATCTACGTCTCTGCACTGGTGTTAGATGAGCGTGTCCTCAAGCGAGGCCACCGTCTTGACTTCTGGGCTGACAGTCCTCACAGAGCCAGGCTGGCCATCTTCTAATCTGGTGCAGGGACCCCTCCGCCCTGGAGGCCACTGTCCTCTCTGTATAGCAGGAACCACAAAGTCAGATGCCTGCAGCCACCAGCCAGTAATGTGAACAGTGGGGCAGGCCAGGCGGAAGAGAAACTCTGGCACCCTCTCTAGGTTTTCCCACATTTGATAGAGAAGAGGGTTCCGAGAAACATGTGTCAGCAAGGAAGAAAACCATCCTGCAAATGTGCCGAGCACGTGTCAGGGTCTCATGGCGGGGCAGATTGGACAGTGCCGAATTCCTGTCTCGCCCAGGGGTCGCCACCCTGTGGGAATGCAGACCAGGAAGGCTCAAGAGAAGCCGGAAATCTGGATTCGTGTGTAAAATCACCTGATTTTCACATTTTGGCTCAAAAAAAACTATGTAGGGCACAAAGCCCACCTGCATGCCAGCTGCACATGGAGACCACCGGTTACCGTCTTTTTTCTTGAGCCACAGAGTGGCAGCATTGAAGCCAGCATAACTTAAAAACTGCAAGCAGGTACAGGCGGAGGCAGGAGGAGGGAAAGGTGAAAGCGGAGAGGATGCAGGGAGAGGGGAAGGTCAGGCAGAAGAGGCAAGGGCCAGGAGGCAGTGGGAGGAGAACTTTGATCCTGAGGGGTTTTTTAATGTAAGCTTTATATAAATTACATACTAACTCAGGGGTGGGCTTTTTTTACTGTTTTGATGACAGCTCTTTATGCCTGGGCTCAGGGTGGATGAGTCTAGTACATGTGATTTGGCCAAATTCACAAATTTAGCTGTATTTATTTTAAAATATATACAGAGGGCTGGGCTTGGTGGCTCACACCTGTAATCCCAGCACACTGGGAAGCCAAGGCAGGCGGATCACCTGAGGTCAGGAGTTCAAGACCAGCCTGGCCAACATGACGAAACCCCGTCTCTACTAAAAATACAAAAATTAGCCAGGTGTGGTGGCTGTAATCCCAGCTACTCGGGAGGCTGAGGCAGGAGAATCGCTTGAACCCAGGAGGTAGAGTTTGCCATGAACTGAGATCATGCCACTGTACTCCAGCCTGGGTGATACAGGGAGACCCCTCTCAAAAAATAAATATATATATACACACACATAGAGGCTGGGGGCAGTGGCTCACACCTGTAGTCCCTACACTTTGGGAGGCCAAGGCAGGCAGATCACTTGAGCTCAGGAGTTGGAGACCAGCCTGGGCAACATAGCGAAATCCCATCTCTGCAGAAAATACACAAAAAATTAGCAAGGCGTGTTTGTGCACGCCCGTAGTCTTACCTATTCCAGAGGCTAAGGTGGGAGGTTTACGTGAGCCCTGGAGGTGGCGGGTGTAGTGAGCCAAGATTGCACCACTGCACTCCAGCCTGGATAAGTGGACAAATAAGGCCCTGTCTCAAAAAAATACACCACATACGCACACACACACACACACACACAGAGAGAGAGAGAGAAATATCTTTTTTCTTCCAGCAATGAAATGGGTATTCCTGTGCTCCCAAGCTGAATTGGGTTTTTCTGGTCACCAGGGGGTGCTGGAGGGCTGCCGTGGCTCTAGGAGCAGTCTCCCTGGGCAGCTTCCCCATTCACGCCCATGGTATGCCCCACATCCCATGACCAAGCAGTAAGACAGCTGTTTCCTTGTACCCTTCATATGTTTCCAAAGGGAACTTGGTTTCTTGACCTAGATGAAAGTTTTGAAGAAATATGGAGCCTGCCCTGTGGCCCGGTAGGGGCCTCTGTGCCTCACTGGCCTCCTGAAGTTGCTACAGTAGCTTGCCGCAGGGAGACGCTGCTCTTGAGCCCTGGGGCTCCGCGGAGGCCTCCCTTGCCAGGCTTCTCCTGCTGGTCCCCTGTGAGCCCAATAACGTAGGGAGCAGACACTGGGACCTACTCATGACAAAGTAGGGAGCTACTCATGACAGAGCTAGCCTGGGCTGGCCAGGTCAGAAGACACCGAGGGTCCTCTGAGCTGGGGGAAGACAGTAAGGAAAGCATGGTCTCAGGAGCAGCCATGGCCCACTGAGGTGGAGGGTATGAGGAGGGCCGAGCCTTTGCTGAGAATCACCTGGAATCAGGTCTACACCCAGTACCTTAGCACTTTTGGTGGTGCTAAGGTCACCTGATGAGGTGCCCTCTTCACTTATGTTTATTTATTCATTCATCCAAGAAATATTAATTAAGCCTACAGGGCCAGGCACTGTTGACACAGGATTTTTCTTGGCCCCTTTGCCAGGATTACAGCAGGGGGTGCCTCGTCTACCCTGCTGGGCTTCATCGGCTTGCATTTTGGCCTGTAGCTCCCACGGCTGCCACAACTGCATGCTTGGCCCCTTGAGGGAGGGAGCACATGAGCAAGCAAATACAGGATCCGGCCAGCCACTCCAAGTGCTCACGTAGAAGCAGGGTCCGCAGCCAGACCAAATGTGTCACCCCAAGGGGAATGTGCCAGTGCCCAGGCAGGGGTACCCGCAACACCAAAGCCCAAGAAGAGGTGTTGGAGTATGCTAGTTAGCTCTTTTAGTTCTGCGTTGTGTTAGCAGCTCAGTCAGCCTCTTGCCACACTCTGGCCCATGGCTCCAGGAGCAGCTCAGCCCCACCACTGCTTCTGTTGAGTGGGACAGCTACCCTCCACCAGTAAGGGTAGAGGGCCACTGGTCCCTGCCTTTGGTGGGTCACAGGCTCTTGTCCCGTATCCAGCAAGAATGAGGTCATGCTGACAATTGAAGGGAGATGAGGGTGGAGGATTTTACCAAGCAAGGAAACAGCTCTGAGTGAAGAGATGGGAAGGTTGGGTCATCCCTCCTGAAGTCAGGTCATCGCCCCAGTGTGGCTGCGTCTGGGGTTTTTATAGGCATTGGATAGAGGGATGCATGCTCATTGATTTGTGAGTATGCCAAAAAGGTTAAAACAAAGGCACCAGTCAAAGGTGGGCACGACAGTGTAAAAACAATTAGGGAAGGGTAGGTGTATGTAAAATAGGTAATGGGTGGGGATCAATCAAAGGAAAGCAGCCAAATGGGAAGACAGGTTCTCAATCTGGTCCATGGATTTGAATTGTAGCTTGGCCTTCAGGCTTTAAACTGCCTTTGGCCTGAAGATGGGGTTTCACTGGAGACCCGCCACTATCTGCCTCAGCATTTGTCTGCCTGCTGCTGCTGTCACTGTTCTAGGCCCCTGTAATAAATCAACAAAGAAAAATGAAAAAATGGGGCTGGGCATGGTGGCTCATGCCTATAATCCCAGCATTTTGGGAGGCTGAAATGGGAGGATTGCTTGAGCCCAGGGGTTGGAGAACAACCTGGGCAACATAGTGGGACCCTGTCTCCATAAAAATATGTTAAAATTAGCCAGATATGGTAGCTCATGCCTGTGGTCCCAGCCACTCAAGAGGGTGGTGTGGGAGGATGGCTTAAACCCAGGAGGTCGAGGCTGCAGTGAGCCATGATCACACCAGTGTACTCCAGCCTGGGCGACAGAGGAGACCCTATCTCAAGAAAACAAAGGAAAAATGAACAAATGGGGGTAAAAGTAATTGACAGCAACCCCATTGTCAGGACACGTTTCAAGTGCTTCTGTGTAACTGAATTATCAGATGTCTGATATTTAGTATCTCTCTCCCTCCTAAGTCTGTGGCTCCGTGAGGTCAGTGGCCCCATGCCCTGTTCACTGCCATGTCCCCAGTATCTAGGATGTAGAGGATGCTCAGTTAACACATGTCGAGTGAATTAGTAAGTTAGTGTGAGGCCGTGTCCCAGCGGGCTTTCAGGCCCTGACCCAGCCCCAATTCCCACAGGGCTTACATACCAGGGGTTCCCAGTGCCAACCCCCTGTAAGCTGCAGGAAGAGGCCTCCTTGGGAAGTCAGCTGAGGCCTGGTCACACCACTCCATTCCTTCAGAGAATCCCCAGGGAACAAGGCAGCCTGGAGCCCGTCAGGAGTGCTCAGTGTCACCTGATACTGCAGGCTAGCTTGCAGTCACCAGAAGCTTTGAGGGGCATGTGTGTGGGTTAGGGCCTTTCCCATCCCTGAGGCTGTTAAGTCTAACATCCTCTACAACACAGGCCTTGACAGAGGCAGGGGCATATGCTTAGAGGTAACCACATTGTGGTCTTTGCACATATCAGGGTCACTCAGAGAGCTGACTGACACCAGCATCAGGTTGGTTGCTGTTCTCTCATGGAGCCAGCTGGCTACAGTGACTCTTAGCAGTGAGAGCAGCGTGTATTTTGAAGGCTCTTCCTTGTGCTGGAACAGACCCTGCAACCCACCTGTGAGGCTGCCTCTGCGTGCCTGGCACGCTCTGGGGAGGGACCGTGACTGACAGCACAGTGTCAATGCTGCGGGAAGAGATGAGCACCAGAAGGGCCACTGTTACTGCTGACTCTGCTCTTCCCACTGGAAGGAGAATTTGGACCCCTCAGCTCGTGACTTGGCAGCGTTTCAGCAGCAGAGGGCAGCAGAGTCAGCCCCATCTGCTCAGACCCTCTGGTGGATTTGAAAACTCTTCTGGCGAATGTTGGCAACTGAGCAAGGGACAGCCCCACAGGAGATGGGGCTGGGAACTGACCTTCACCTCTTGAAAGGGAGCAATTCCAGGGTCCCAGCTCAATGGCTACAACTGTTGATGGGTAAATCAGTAAGTTCCCCAGTGTGTATTCATCGCAATAAAACTGTTTTGACCCACCCTGGCAGGGGGCAGGGATGATGATGGCTTAACTGGTGCCCCCACAACCCCCAGTAAGCCTGTGGGGGAACCACAGGGATGAGAATGGAGGGTTTATTTCCTGGCTTCTTCCTGGGGCAGGAATAACTGCTGCTTCCTGTCCACCCCTGCAAATATGCAGCTATTCCCCCTGCCAGTTTTCCAGAGCTCTGCAGTCGGAATCCACGGCCCCTGCAGGCTGGTGGGAAGTTTGGGCAGGCATCATCCTCCTTTGTCTGCTGGGCCAGACACAGGGCTCTGTGTGCACTCCAAACGCAGGCTCATTCTTAAGGAAATGGGGTAGGTGTTCACGCAGCCAGGGAATCCAAACTTGTTGACTCAGTAGCGCTGGGATTTTTGTGGGGGATGCCTGCTCCTCCACTTGCCTGGCTTTCTCTTTTCAATCTCTGCGGCTGACTAAGATGTTGGAGGCAAGAGCCCGAAGTGCAGGCTGCATTGTTTGATGCTGATGTCAGGAGCGACATGCTGGGTTTGCACGATTTGATGGCTGCTGAGTTTGCCACCTGAGGAGAATGTCGGAGTCCCTTCCCTAGAGAGATGTCTGCCGGTTTAGCTGACATTCCTCAGCTCTGTCCCCCCACCATCTACCACCCAGAAATCCCCTTCCAAATGTCAGCCCAGAATTCCTGCCCTGCCACCCTAGATACCATGATTTTGATTCTCCATTGGAAATACCCTGTGTGTCCAGCTGCAGGGGACAGGGCAAATAAAGAATGGCTCAGCTCTAGTCTACAGTTCACTCTTCTGGAGATATTAAGAAAAAGGTTATGTAAAAATTAATACCACATAAACATAGGACACATTATTTGTTAACAGTGTGGTATTGTGTGTGTGTGTATGTGTGTCTGTGTGTGTGTGTGTGTGTGTGTGTGTGT